ACAAATATGAAATTCGGGGCAAATCAGTACGTACTTCTAGTAGTATGCGAATTCGAAAACGGCCATGAAGTTTAGAACAAGAGGTAATGAGGGTGATGGGAAACAGGTGGGGGAGACACAATCAGGCAACTGGTGTGACAAGACAGGGGCAGAAAAGAGTGAACAGGAACAAATCTAAAAGGCAGAGACAATTGTTAGTGGACTACAAAATAAAACAGGAAAGACGTGACATGAAACAAAACATGAATGTGCCAAAATAAAGGAAACTTCACCAACCTAAATATACTGAAATACAAAAGGAAGCTTAACTCGCATGACAACTGTATATTAAACACCACTGCCTCCTTGTACTCCTTTTTCCCTTCTTTTCCTGTGTTTACATACTATCTGGTAAATCACTTTGTTACTGTGTTTTATGAAGTACCATTGAAACAAAGATTTTCCACCATCACCATTATCTTCCTCTTTTTCCTCACAGTCCCACTGCCTGTCTCATCGATTTCTCACCCACGCTTTGCTATCTTCATCTCCTTGCTCCTCTACCTCCTACCCCTCTAACCCAGACACCCCCTGTGCAGCCTCGCCCCAAATCCCCCTTCAACCTTAAAACTCTCTCCTCTAAACCTCTGCTCTCTCATCCCCACCCCACCCCCATAACGCCCCATGATGCACACCATTATAAGACACACCCTGGCTTTCTTTAATGTATTTTCATGCCAAACTTTAGTACTAAAAATAAAAACTATTCCTAATACTTCACTGAGTGATTGGAAAGACCAGATTAAAGGTGTTTCTCATCGCTCATCATTCAGTAACTGAGCACCAGCACCAGCATGTGTCATGCAGTTTAATGTGCGTGAGTGTGTGTCAGAGAGTTGGTAACGTGGTGTAGCCCATATATCAGTGTGTCAATCCCTGTACTAAGCCTGTGCTCTACAGGGGTTCACTCCTTATTTAGGTCATCAGATGGTTAAAGAGTTAAACTCCTCTGGATGCATGCAGAGCAGGAAAAAAAAAAAAATCCAACTGGTATCAGCTGCAACAGCTGGCCTAAATCCTATACAGCATTTGCATACAAACATGCAGAGAAGGGACAAACTGTTCTTTACATGGTACAGTTACAAATGTTTAAACCATCATAAATAATGTTTTGTTTTGTTTTTTTCCCCTTCTGCATTCAAGTGAGAGAATGGCACGTGCTATTCTCCCTGCAGGGAGCTTTCAGTTTCATGCTCTCAGTTATATGCCGGTCTGATCTGCTGTTCTGCCATAGAATGATTGACAGAGACCATTAACCCTGAAGCAGAAATGCTGTCCAACGCTGAGGTTTTTGTTTCGTGTTTCAGTTTGTTTCACTTCAGTTTGCTTTTATTGCAGAAGAAAAATTTGTATGGGATTTTCTTCACAACCCTTTGCCAATAACTGTGTTTAAAAATATGCCTGTGAAACCCCTCCCCTCCATCAAATTTTACTTCGAGTACCTACAAAAAAATCAAACTTGTGCCAAGGTAACAGGTTTTCAGCTGAATCTATGGACATCATGCACACATGAGGTGGAAACTAAAGCCTATAACCCACAGGGCGCATGTTTGTTGCTTGGAATTACACTCTTTCTCTGTTCAACAGTGTGCCCTGGCCCACGTGTCTGGCGTGTGTTAGCAGTGTAGCACAGACTGAAGCAGCTGAACTCGGTATGCAGAAAAACAACATACTCACAACAGGTTACTTTGTTTTTCTGTGGTCAATTTTCTGCTAATTTGGATACTAGTCTGTGACTGTTGTGCTTCTATCTTTGGTAAACAAGCAATGTAATCATAGAGATTTGATATTTACAGATTTACACGTACATAGTATAATAAATGATGTTCCACTTTGTTGTGCTATTACTTGCAGACAGAGTTTGCAGTTAAAAGTCCTGTTGTGGTCCACATGGATTGGGGATAGGCCATAGGGTTGTTCTGTGTTAACAGTCCATAACCAGGAAGTATTTCTCATCAATAAGATCTGATAAACAGTCAAAAGTTGGCATATGTTTTTTTATTTTGAAATGTACAGGATAGTATGCATCAGTCCCATCCCATCGGTCTGTTGAACAGATGCCTTTGTCTGCGAACATGGATTCACTATTTGATTCCTGAGTTTTGTGTACGGGGCTTGTTCTCATGAGACAGATGGGCGTTGAGCTTCTCGGGTGGTCTACTTGTCTCTTGGGCTGCCACGTGGGCAATGATCCCTCGCCCTCTGTAGTCAAGAACAGTCTATTGTAGATGGACAAAAATTGCAAACAAAAGAAAAAATAAATATATAAAATAAAACAAAATAAAAATTCAAAAAAAGAGGCGGCCATACCTGAATCAATGAACAACATTCCCAGGAATGAGACTAGAGGTGGTGACGGGTCTGACTCACACAGATCAGAAATTTCCTTGGCGATTGGCGAATTACAGAAACATTTTACTATTGCTCTCACCCAAAAGATTTCGTGTGTGATGCACATTGATTAGCTGGACGTGCCTACCTCGGCGGATGTGATCGAGTGGCAGTTGATTAAGTGCTTGTCTTCCTCTGAGGGGATCTCAAATGACTTGTCCTTGAGTACCTTTGGAGCAAGGGCATAGGTTTGCATAGGGACTGTAGGGACATAACACTACCAACTTTTCAGGGTCCTCAAATTGTCCCCACCAACTTTTAAGCAACTTTATTTGCATTGTATAATGAGTGCAGTTATATAGGTTATTTATATTGTCTTCCCATATTTTGTAAGGATAGAATCAACCCTACCATTGTTAAGTGAATTATTTTCATTATGTTCTGACTTACATTTACCCCTTTTCACTTGTTAAATGTGCCGGTCCATTTTTTTCCCTCAAATGCACGTTTGATTGGCTGATACATACATACACGCACACACTCTCACAGCCCCGACAGAAGTACGTGTGTCGACAATCATGCCGCCTCCTCCACCCCCTTCGAAGAGGAGGGATATTAGAAGCATCTTTCAGCCAGCAGCAGAAGCCACAGCCACTGTAAATAATGTAAGAAGACGTCAGTGTTTTGGAGGTGGATGAACACCCCTAATTTTGCTACTGAATGTCCGACTCGCATCAGAGTTAGCATAACGTTAAACTATGTGAACTTGCAAACCTGCAAAGCTCGAGTAGGCAGCTGCTTAGAGAGAAGTGCCCTATATGTGGTTACTGCTAACTTTAAATACTGGAAACTATATAACCAGAAAAACGTGAGTAAGAAGTTGCTCAGAGAGAGGTCCCAAGCTGTGTTTAACAGAAAAGTGTTTACAATAAAAAAAAAAACAACAAAAAAAACATGCTGCTGCTTTTCTTCTCGTAAATGGCCTGGTTTAGAAGGAAAGAAGGCTAGAGCATGTTGTGACTTTACACTTTTGAAACCAAATACCTATTAGTGCATGTAGTTTCATGAAGTGTATTCATTTTCTAAATTATTTATTTAAAAATATTTTTATTTGCAGCCTATGCAGACATTTTTTCAGATAATCATACATTAATCATAATAGAGGTAAAAAGTTCATTTAATCTTGATTTAGATTTTTTCCATAATCGCCCAAACACTGATGCAGTTTAGAGATGAAAATAATGGAGAGGAAGGTGAAAGAGACAACCAATTAAAGCACGAATTACTCTTGTGGTACATGACGGACAAAAGCTGTAAATTGAGACTGTAAATGTACATGCAGATTATGCTGTTATATCGTCCCTACCAATGTTGAGACCAAACCTACGCCCTTGCTTTGGAGGGGACTTGCTTTTTTTATTCTCAAGGTGGAGTGCCTTCAAGCTGAGTTGCAGGGTCTCATAAGCATTGTCCTTCTTGGGTAGAGTAACATAAAACTTTACTGCTGTGTTCGGCACATGGATCTGGCAACTTTGCTTCACTCACTCTCTGTCAGGTGCTTGTCAGCCTGAGAACCAGGGAAACCAAAGAAAGGATGAGCAAAGTAAACAGAAAAGTATGATTTTGAGAATTTATTGGGATCTCAATGTCAGTGCTTCTTACCTGGGTGGCCACGCTGCTACGGATTGCACTAAAGCTCACCCTGCCCTTCAAGCCAGCGTCTGACCAGGCCAGTTGCAGAAAGTCTATGGGCTTTGTTTTGGGTCCCCCACGGTGTTGTAGTTTCATGTAGGAATGCAGCAGTAAAAAAGGAAGAATACGGCAGACTCAGGATTGTGAACTCCAACTTGACTCTTTACTGTATATTGTCTTCCTCATACAACAGCAGTGCTCAGAACAATACAAGCTCACAGTGACCCCTAGCGCTGTGGAGCATCAATTGAATTCACAACATATTTCCCCCTTTGTTTAAGAAGCTTACTTGTAAATTGAAATACACAACTTGAATACAAAACAAGCAATAGATTAGTGCAAACATCTCTACATTGCATATTAATAACAGTTTTTTTCTGTAAACACATTCGTATTAATAACCAAACAACAGTATTTCTAACTCTTCTAAAGTGCCTGTTCCTTCTCTGTAACTCAGTAATGTAACTCAAATTTTAGTAAACTTATTTTCAAATCATATGCATACACTGATTCGGGTAAGCAGTTCGTGTACACTGCCATATTGTGGCGGCGCCATTGCTGTGGTGTGCAACACCACGTCTTTTTCCACAACTGTAGTCTTTTACTGTTGTTGTAACAGCCGATGACGGCACACGTCCTCCCAGACTGTCTTCACATAGTTGTGCAGGGTTGCTGGTGTCGCTGCACGCTGCTTACAGCACTGCTTCTTGTTTGCTTTGTGCACACCGCAGTAATGGCGGCCGTACTACTTCCGGTCATTTTGCTGAATCAGTGTATACAGGTCTCTAAGCAATAATAAACCAAGGCAGCTTCAACTTATAATTCACTGTGTCAACAATTTTCACGCATTTCACAAAATCAGGCATGTTTTCTTTTTTTTTTTCCCCACAACATTTCCCTTTAATATTCCCCCCCAAAGGCCATGAGAGAACGATTATTCATGATTGCTCAGCCAAGCAGGCTTTTTTTCTGACCCTGGTGGGTCTGCATGTATCATCCGGTGGTTTAGTGGGCTCTGGCACAGAGGCTGGATCAGCAGGTTTGCCTGTGATGATGTCCTCTGCACTCTCTGGAACCAGAGAAAGGTGCGACGCGTTCAATGTAGATCCATCCTCCAGTACAAAGGAACCTGCACCAGCTCTTTCCATCACCCTGGCAGGTGTGTAGAACTTTGACAGTCCTTTTTTAATGTGGAAAGGTTTTCTTACTCTGCCCAGGCTTCCCTCTTTGATCTTTGGCACTTGTGCACCTCTTTTAGTATCGGTATAGGCTTTTGATGCTTTCTGCTTGGAGGTGACACGATCACGCAGCTGCTCTTCAAGCAGTGGTGTGGATTTGCTTGCTGGACCAATATCCACTTTTGTTCGCATCTTCCTATTGAACATAAGCTCATGAGGTGACGCACCTGTGGTGCTGTGTGGGGTTGCACGGTATGTGAGCAGGCACTCCTGTATGAAGGGTTTCCATGGTTTCCCCTCTTGCTCAGCTGTGAGAAGTGTTTCTTTAATAACGTGCTTCCAGTGCTTTATGGCTCCATTTGCTTGAGGATAGTACAGAGACACTTTTCTGTGTTTAATGTCTCTCACTGCAAGGAACTCTGCAAACTCACTTGAGGTGAATTGTGTCCCCTCGTGATGAGCTCTGTAGGGTTGCCAAACCTGGAGAACACTGTCGACAGGAAAGTGGTGATCGCCGTGGTTGTGATGGAATGTGTGAAGGCGACCTCTGGCCACTTGGTGTAGTAGTCGATCAGTGTCACTGCATATCGGCAGTCCCAGGTTGCAGACTCAATTGGCCCCACAATATTAACTCCCACTTTCTGCTATGGGCCATAAGGCAGTGGGACCGGCTGAAGTGGTGTAGCATGTGTCTTGGCACTTTTATCATTCATCTGGCACATCACGCATGTTCTGATGCTCTCCTGCACACACATGTCCATACTTGGCCACCAGTATAAGTCCCGCAGCCTCTGCTTAGTGTGGATAACACCCTGGTGGGTTTCATGTGCCAGGTTAATCAGCTGTTTTCTTAGGGCCATGGGAACCAGTCGTCAATGAAGACCCCTGTAAACTACCAGATCTTGGACTGAGACTTCATCATTGATAGCGAAGTAAGGCTGCAGCACTGCAGGTAGGGACGTGGTTGTTTTCGGCCATCCTTTTTCCATCTGCACCCTCAGAGCTGTGAGTTCTGGACACGCCTCACATACCACAGTGAAGTCCTTCAATGAGAGAGTTTTCAGTTCCACATCCAGCAAAGCGACAAGCTCAGGCTCCACCACTGGCTCTGCATTCTCTGCTGATGGGAGAGGTAATCTGGAGAGACAGTCAGCAGCAAAATTTTGTGCACCAGCACGATACACCACATCATATGTGAAACAAAGCAATCTGGCCGACCACCTTGCAATGCGCATTTCAGCACATCCAAGTCCTTTTGTAGCTAGTAGTGTGGTCAGGGCCTGGTGATCTGTCCGCAGTGTGAATCGTGTTCCCCATAGGAAAGTCCTCCATTTCTCTGTGGCCCACACACAGGCCAGAGCCTCCTTCTCCACAATGGAGTATTGCCGTTCTGCCGGTGTGAGTGAACGTGAAGCAAATGCGACCGTATGCTCTGTGTTGTCCGGATGCATTTGTGTCAATATGGCTCCCAGACCATAATCCGAAGCATCAGTGGAAACTATGGTTGGAAGATTGGGGTCAAAAACTGCCAGCGCCGGACTGTTGACGATGCAAGACTTTACTGTATCAAAACTCTCTTGTGCAGCTGCAGTCCACTTGAAGGTGTCATCACGCAGGCAGTCTCTCATGGGCTCCACCAGAGATGCATATTTTTGCACAAACTTTGCGTACCATGCTGTGAGACCCAGGAATGAACGGAGTGTAGTGGCATCGCTCAGAGCTGGAGCTTCTGTGATGGCCCTGAGGTGATCCTCATTTGGCTGCAAACCTTGGGCTGAACTGACATGTCCAAGGAACTGCAGGCTTTTCTGGTTGAAGTGACATTTTCCAGTGTTGAGCTGGAGGCCAGCTTCTTTGAGTGCAGCTAGCACTGCCTGGAGGTTGCGGTCATGTTCCTGCTGGTCCCTACCGTAGACTATGATGTCATCCAAGTCTATGGTAGAGAAAACAGTGGTTCCGCACATTTCAGTAAAGATATCATCCATATGAGGAAGTGGGTGACTGTCCATTACAACTGCCTTGTCTGGCTCACGATAGTCCACACACATCCACACGTTACCATTTTTCCTCCATGTAACTATTATGGGTGAAACCCACGGGGAAGCATCAATCCTCTCGATAACATCCATTTCCAGGAGCCTCTCAATTTCAGCTGAGACGGCTTGTCTGACAGAGACTGGGAGCCTTCGCAGTTTTTGTTGGACAGGCTGGACACCCTCTCTGATTTTGATTCTGTGGATGAAGCCTTTTGCAAGACCCAGCTTCTCCTCAGTCACTGACTCGGCTACTGGAGCTGCATGTGAGTTGGAAGATGGGGAGGTTGCAGGGGAGAGCACAGTGTTTTGTTGAATGGAAAGTTTCAGTGCTCTGAATAAATCCAATCCCAGCAAAGCTGTGCCTGTTCTCACAACATAAAGTGTAGCTGGAACTGTAGCATCGTCATGCTGCACTGTAGCTGATATGCAGCCTAGCACTGGCACCTTGGACTTTGTGTACGTGACTAGTTTTGAAGGTGGCTCAGACAGTGGTACATCACTGAAGTGCTCTCTGTACAGGTGCTCAGGAATAATGGATACAGCAGAGCCTGTATCCACCACTAGCTCAGCAGGGCAAGAAGATGTATTTGCATTTATCATCACTGTGCATAAGATCTTGTGGTCTGACTGACAATCCTGCAGCATCAGCACTGTGTTCATCTCAAGTACAACAACTTCTCCAACTTTAGTAGTAGGCTTGGACTTAGACTTACATACACGGGCGAAGTGTCCTGTCTTGTTGCAGTCCCTCCGTCTGCACCAGCAGCTTCTCACGTATCCGAGGGCAACTCGCATGTTCAATAAGTTGGTCTTGTATTATCTCATCGCTATTTCCACCAAACTAACATGTTGCCGCCAGCTCTCACAGGGCTCCGACGTACTCAGCAACTGTCTCATGCGGTCTCTGTACTCGTCTGAATTTATGTCTCTCCACAGCAACATTTATTGCTGGCCTGAAGTGCGCATATAACGCATTCACTGCCGCCTCGTATGTCGTACATCCATCCTTGAGCGTGTAGAAGATACACTGTCCTTCTGTGCCCAAACAGTGCAAAAGTAGAGCACGTTTTCTTTTATCGGGCCAGTCGTCCCCCTCTGTGTGTATAGCCAGCAGGTAGTTTGCGAACATTTTCATCCACATGTTGAACGGGACTGTAGGTTGTCCGACGGACAGCAAAAACAAAGCGGGAAGAGGCACAACATTCGCCATCCTCGTTGCCAATTTGTTGTAGTTTCATGTAGGAATGCAGCAGTAAAAAAGGAAGAATACGGCAGACTCAGGGTTGTGAACTCCAACTTGACTCTTTACTGTATATTGTTTTCTTCATACAACAGCAGTGCTCAGAACAATACAAGCTCACAGCAACCCCTAGCACTGTGGAGCATCAATTGAATTCACAACACAGGGGTAGCGTGGAAAATGTTTACCTCGGCTGCAGCATTTGCTTTGCTACAATTGCCTAGCACGATTTCGTCCAATCAGAAGTACTCTGTGCTGTTGAGGACCAAGGAAGCCTGCCCAAAAGCTTTTGACTGTCCTGTGCTTCAACATATAAAATACAAGAATCAACCTATAGCATGCAAGTAATGACATATACCCATCTACAAGGTGAGAGAGAAAAATACGCTGAAGGTTCTTGGCTCACCGTGTTGGCAGAAGGTAACAGCAGTGCCTGTATGATGTCTCCCTTTTTCATACAAAGGTTTCAAGTTTGATGGCATTTTCTCCTCACTCAGCCAGTCCTGTAAAACTGTAAAAGCTCATGCAGTTTGTGGCTGCTTTGTGTGTGTTTTCTTCAGTTTGGTCTATGTCTCTTTCACCCATAGCTCCTTCTGTTCTTTAACATTTCTTGCCAATTTTTAGTGCTGTTTTTCCTCATTTTGACCTCTTTCTTCTGGTGGTAAATGGTCAGCCATTAACCACCAATTTCAAGTTTTGTGCTCTCCCAATGAAATAAGAGTGAAGTAAAATCATCCGCCACATTGTCTGCTGATTCTATTGGAATGTAAATTTTTTGTGTCATTGTCAATAGGATGTGAAATGATTTATTTCTAAAAATCATTTATAACTAAAAATCACTGTCTTGCTAATTTGATTAAGCAGATTCATCCAGCGTTGAGAAATGACGTTGAACAAAGTGTTTATGTTTTTTGGGACTAATTAAAGGTGGGCTACGAGTTTTGTACAATTAAAGGCACTGTGCACTTGATTAACATCTCCCCTTTTTTGCCTCTTGGTATGTAAACTGAAAGTTAGTTTGTGTCAGCATTTCTGAAAAGCCAAAAGTTTTCAAAACACTGATTCAGAAACCAAAGGATCATGTTTATTCTTCACAGATAAAGGCCATGATCAGTTCACTAATTATGCAATCTGCACACCTAGGTTCTTGCCCAATGATCTGTCTACTGTACAGTAAAGTTCCTCCTATCCCAACTGCATGAAAATGTACCCCTGAAACCCTGAATACAATGAACAATGGAGAGTTTTGACCATGAAATATGGTGTTCCTTGTTAGTATTTCTGGTGGTCAGATTAAACAAAAGATAAACTGCAGATTATATGCAAAGATTTTAAAGATTTTAAAACTTGAGTGCAGCTGGATCCTGATGTTTTCAGATCAATTAATCTTTTACGTGTTGATTCAGTCAACTTGTTATGAACAGAAAACAAACAAGCTCAGTTTGAGGGTGACACAGAGAACCTCCTACTTTGTTAAAATTATTATCTTGTTTCACTTTTTTATTAAAAAGACAAAAACAGGATATTAAATGTGGGGTCCACAGATTAAAGGACAGAAGAAGCATGAGAAAGAGGACTGAGAGTGAGGGACAAGTGAAGGACTGGAGCGAGGGTAGATGACAGATTGAGTTTGGATAAGATGGGAACAAAGATGTTGATAAGAGAGAGAGGGATGATGCAAGCATATTGCATAACTCTTCATCAGGAAAAGGGATGAAGGGATATGCAGTGATGCAGCCTGTGACTGAACAGAAAATATCTCTGACTCCTCCTTTGTATAAACATGATGAAGATGACCGGCTCAAAGCCCCACCCTCTTTGAGTCATGAGAGCCGCTGCTGCAGCATCAGGAAAGAAATTGCACAAGTCAGTCTACAGAGAATCATCAGACTCATGGGAAGTTTTTATTCTGATAC